AGACTACATTAAGTCTTTCAATAGATTTTGAACTGATGAATATGCTTTTTTAGCATGTTCAACTCTTTATAGTTTTTGCACAAAAAAGATTTGGAGAAATCTGCACCAGAAGCCTTTTTACTAAGCCATGCATTTTCATCCCAGAAAGTCATCCCTGGTTTTTGTGTTTTTTTTATTTTTTTATTCACAACCTGGCTGCAGACAGTCAAAGCAACTACAAACAGGTATTGATATCCTTACTATATGTATCCCTTGTTATCCCTTCCTTTTAATGCAGATGGTTTTGTAGTTCAGATTATGTATGTGCACAAGAAGATTTTTTTTTTTAGTTCAGCCAAAATCTGATGATTTGTCTTTTCAGTTTGCTGGAATTTGAAAAGTTAGAATGAAATGCAGTACTTAAAAATTTAAATCTAAATTACTGACAAGATTAGTTTTATCCTTTCTCTTCTAAGTCTTCACTTTCTCTATCACCAGCTACAACCTGAACCAACCCGAGCCAACCCAACCAACACAATGATGCTAGTTCACTGTCTCACACACACACTACTAAAGCATCAGGAAATGAAGAAAATATGACAGATAGGCTTGGATTGGTCTAATTTTGCAGGAAATTGACAAATAATTTGCTTATAAAACACTCCCTAGCACTGCTCGATGATTGTGATCCATGATTGTAATCACAGGATTGTTCAGAAACTGCTCAGTGCTGCAGCTTCGCTTGTGTGTGATGAATGAATGGAACCAATCAAAATTTGGTACCAAACCATTTATTCATTCTTTAAATATCAATTTTGCATTTGGATTTATCTGAAATGACAAAAAAATTACTTTTTTTGGAGTGAGTGGGCATGGCTAAGGAGGCAGGTTTATGGTGCAGAATTATGCAATAAAAATCAAGCTCTAAATATTTGAGTATGCAAAAAATACAGTATATAAATGAGACCGCAACCTATCAAATGCATTAAAGTTTTATTTCTGTCTGTAATATTCCTGCTATATTGTATTTGCTTTGTAAACATTGAGTATAAAATCAAATAGGTCAAGGGAAACGTATTTTGATGCTTGTGTCCCTTTTGTGACATCATAATGTATCACTGTAGTGTTATTTGTTCTTCTCCATTGTAGTGTTTAATTAGCAGCATGATTATGTCAAAAATGTTGTTGTTATTGTGCTTAGTGGAGTTTATTCAGTAAATAGTGATTTACGGTGCATTCAAAACTGATTTAGAAAAATGTTGTTCAAATTGCCAAGTCACAATATTTTAAAATCCATTTTAATTAATTAAAACGTAGTGTTTGATGCATTAAATGTCAGCATAGAAAAAAAATATTTAATAGCATAACTGTAGTTTAAAAAAAATAAAAAATTATACACAGTGGCAAGAGCTAGGTTTAAATTTGTTTCTTAATGTGCAGATGTATATGTTTCTCACCATCAACTGAGAAGAAATGTATGGCAATTAAATGGAAACGGTAATTCCCCTGGAGTTTTAATAGTAGGTCTACTTAGCCTCCATGTTTAACCAACATGGAGTAGTGAGGCCTGAAAAAAATAATCTGTTCCAGAATTGGGAACCCCTTGGCTATCTATAAATCTTTGTTATAAACTGTGCTCTTTACACATGACAGTAGACTTGTGCATGGCAAACATTTGTTTTTTCAAAATGATACCGTTATAATTTTTTTTACTTTTCTTTTGGTTTTAAAAAATTTCAATTATTCAGAATCAAATCAAATAATGATGTGATTTAAAATTCTAGAGTCAGTATAGAAAGAACAAAAGGTAGAGGAGAAAAACTAAATGTTGCACATGTCACTAATATGGAACTTTCTGTCTCTTTATCTTCAGCTGTTTTTCACAATCTGTTTACCAGTTTGCATTGGTTAAAGATTATGCATGGAGATTCTGCTTGTCAGTGTGTGGGAGAGTATATGCTTAAAGGCTCTGTGTGAATAGGTTTTGTGTGTCGAGGGAGCCTGTGTGTGTGCGGGTATGTTTTTCTAGGGCTGTGTAATTTGAAGGGCTCTGTGTGAATTTTTGGAATAAGGTGCTTTGGTTTTTTTTTTTAAGGCTGAGCTTTGTGTATTGGGCATGCTGAGTAGTTATAGCTCAAAATAAAAAATAAAAAACATTTCTGTTGACTTCCTCTCCTTCTAATATTTCAGTGAGGTAAGATACACATGCACATACATAAACATAAACTGTCTCTGTCCATTTCCTGCATTTGTTATTGTTTTGTTTTTTCTATTTCTCTTTCTCCTCTTCTCTCTGACACTTATACAGAATTTTTATGACCTTCTTCAAGAAGGTCTATTAGACCTGTGTGTGTCAAAACATGTCAGCTCTTCTCACACACTTCAGTAGAAAAAAAAACAGAGAAAAAAAAGTTACCTGCGCTCTTCCCAAATCCCTGTGCATATTTAACCCCTGAAGGACTGAGCCAAATGTACGCGTTGTGATCAAAACAAAAAGTAAACAAAATTTTTTTAGTTCTACGTGACATTCTAACTGTGAATGCATAATACTGTTTGATTTTACTGCAATAAAATACACATATTTGTATTCAGTGATGTCTCACGTGTAAAACAGTACCCCCTATGTACAGGTTTTATGGTGTTTTGGGAAGTTACAGGGTCAAATATAGCATGTTAAATTTTTCTGTTTTTTCACATTGAAATTTGCCAGATTGGTTACGTTGCCTTTGAGACCGTATGGTAGCCCAGGAACACTGGCCAAAGTTAGTGTTAATATTTGAAAATGCAAAAAACTAATTTGAATGTCAGTTTTGGCCAGTGTTTGTGACTAAGTGGCTACTAAAAAAGACTGGACATACCCCATTTGCAATACCTAGGGTTGTCTACTTTTGCAAATGGTATGTCCTTATGGGGGTAATTCTCATTCCTGGGCTACCGTACGGTCTCAAAGGCAATGTAACCAATCTGGTGAATTTCAATGTGAAAAAACTGAAACGCAAGCCTTATAGTTGACTCTCTACCTTTTAAAAATACCATAAATCCTGTACATGAGAGGTACTGTTATACTCGGGAGACTTTGCTGAACACAAATATTAGTGTTTCAAAACCGTAAAACGTATCACAACAATTATATTGTCCGTGTAAGTGCCATTTGGGTGTGAAAAATGCAAAAGATTTCATTTTCATTGACAATATCGTCGTTGTAATACATGTTACTGTTTTGAAACACTAATATTTGTGTTCAGCGAAGTCTTCCGAGTAAAACAGTACAGTACCCATGTACAGGTTTTATGGTGTCTTGGAAAGTTACAGGGTTAATTATAGTGCTAGCAAATTCAATTCCCTGGACTTTTGGCCTGGGTTGTCAGGCTGGTCCTGCTAATTCTAATTAATAAAATTACCTAATTATGTAAAATTATTACATAAATGTATATGTAGAATTATTTTATATATATGTGTGTGTATATAAATATGTGTATATATATATATATATATAATTTATTTTAAATTTTATTTATATATAGGTATATATAATGTGATATATACTTATATATATATATTATTTTGTTCTACATGTATTTTGATATCAATATATATATTAATTTTAAAATACAGTTAGAACGAATTTACACATATATATATTTTATTTTTTATTTTATTTTTATTAAATTTTTTAACATATTTACAGATATATTTATTTTATATTATATATATATATATATATATATATATATATAAGGAAAATTATATACAATCCAATGAGCGAGGCTGCTCTCCGGACTTCAAACTTCAGTTTATTATAATAGATTAAAAATGACGACCAACGTTTCGGTCCCTGCTCGGGACCTTCTTCAGGGTCAAATACAACAGGACAATACAGTACATTGCATATGCAAACAATATATACTATTAATAATTAGTGGAATGATTCACCAGGATGTTCGTCCCATCCCGCCGACACCAAGTGCACTTCCGGGTACGTGCGCGCACTACAGAGCGTGCCACGCCTCCCGTCATGTGATCATACGTGCCTGGTGTGATGGACAGCCGGGAAACCCGGTTTCCAAGACTACTGTGTAAACAAATACAAATTGTGAGCGTGTTTGAATAAGCCACTCCCAATGCAAAAGATAACACGAGGAGAATAGGATGATGACAATACTAATGTGATAGTGCATATAGAATTAATAAGAAACAGGTAGAAAGTCATAATTATATGAAAGATACCCCACAATAATACAAACATGTAATTCAATGTAAGGTGCATCAAATAAAGTGCACTAATAATTTAGCTAATAAATGTATGATAAGGTGCATATCTATTAAGGAAAGTGCTATTAGTTATTAAAGTGCAAATTAAATGTTAAAGTGAAAGTGTGCTAAATATAAAGTGCTACATAGATATTTAAATTCATTATTCATATGTATGTTCACATGTACCATATACATATTAAAAACAACAACATGCTATCACTAAATTAAAATAATATTGGCTAGCTAGACATTCCTATAGAAAAGAATGGTAACATTCTCATTAAGTCCCAAAGGCGACATCGTATTTAATTGATGGATCCCAAATGCTTCTTTTTGAAGCAGTATTCTCCCTCTTTCCGGGAGGGATATGGTCAATGCCCACAAACTTGAGAGACGCCAAGGGATGCTTTTTGTCCAGGAAATGCTGGGCAACGGGTTTGTCTGACTGTCCATCCCTGTGCACCAACCTAATGCTTGAACGGTGGCTCCTAATCCTCTCACACAGGGGTGTTTCCGTCTTCCCCACATAGTGAAGGCCACACCAGCATACCAATTTGTAAACAACAAATGGGGTTTTACAAGTGATAGTATGTCTTAAATCATATGTTTTATTGGTGAAAATTATATAGAAAAAAAAAAAAAAATATATATATATATATATATATATATATTTATATTTAATCAATATCATTGTACGTGTATTTTGATTTTAATATATATAATTATGTATTTATTAATATTAAAATACACTTATACAGTGTATGTGTGTGTGTGTGTGTGTGTGTGTGTGTATATATACTTAGATCATATATATATTTATTATATATATGATCTAAGTATATATACACACATACACTGTCTATGTACATATATACACACATACACTGTCGCAGTATGGGAACTCACCTGGGAGCCCAGGAATCCCCCTCTGTCCTGTTTGGCCCCCCTGGGCCATGTGATCGCGAGAAAACTATTATAATCTCTAAGATTTGAAATCATTGTTTAGTGAATAAGCGAGTGTGCTGGATTCTGTATTTTGTATATTTTGTCCCCAGCAGCACCCTATAATGTATGCATGTTCAGGTGAGTCAACAATATTGTTGAATCAACACAGTAAAGGAGGAGACTATATTTAAAAGAAGAGAAACTACCACAACAAGAGGACATAGTCTTAAATTAGAGGGGAAAAGGTTTAAAAATAATACCAGGAAGTATTACTTTACTGGAAGTGTAGTGGATGCATGGAATAGCCTTCCAGCTGAATTCGTAAAGGTTTACACAGTAAAGAGGTTTAAGCATGCGTGGGACAGGCATAAGGCTATCATAACTATAAGATAAGGCCACGGACTAATGAAAGTATTTCGAAAATTGGGCAGACTAGATGGGTTTTTATCTGCTGTCACATTCTATGTTTATATGCAGCATATGTGGTTTTATATGATTATGTATCAGACTGTTTTTTTTAAATTAGGTATCCCTCTGTATGTGATTATCAGTTGTTCTGGAAGTATTTGATTTAATGTAGCATTGTTCTTTAGTAGAGGCCAATATTTCTTAAAAATCCTCCTAAGTTGATGGCCCCTACAATTAAAATCGCATATAAATGCAATCCTATTTGTATCTAGTACATCCTATTTTTGTTTATATTTTAATAGATCTGCTCTATTTTTAATACTGAACTCCTCCAATGCTTTATTTAAAAGTGTGTCCTTGTAACCTTTCTGCTTGAAATCATTTTTAATTTTGAGTGCCTGTGTTTTAAAAACGTCATTATCTGAACAGTTTCTTTTTATCCTCAACATCTGGATTTTAGGGGCATTAAGTAGCCACGGAAAGAAGTGACATAAGTGAATATTTGTATTCACTTTTGTGTCACACAGCTATGTTACAATGCTGCCGCCCACCCCATGTGTTCTCTATAGAGGGTTAATAAGCATGTAGGGGTTTATAAAAATACCCCTCTCTGTCTCATTTGAGATATCTGTGCCAGAAACTCAAGGAAGCAAGATGAATAGTCAGTGAGTACCCACCTAAGAGGTTTGCGTTGACATGGCAGGTGGGCATCCCCTCTCATGGCCATTGGAGTAACAAAATAACCTCCATTTGTTTAAATATGCATAGGAATTTGTTTTTTACTTTATGTATTGGGCTGATGTGTACTATTGTTGTGGCTGCCGCCCAAGAGTAGTGGCCGTGGCAGTGACCGGGTATGGAATAGAGGGCCAGAGTGTGGAGGGGGGTGACAGGTGGCAGAGTGAGGGAAGGAGGGATTGGCAGGGGGCAGAGTGAGTGGGTGACAGGGGGCTGACAGAGGGGGTGACAGGGGACAAAGTGAGGTGGTGACAGAGGGCAGAGTGAGGGGGTGGCAGAGTGTGGAGGAGGTGACAGTGTGCAGTGTCAGAGGGTGACGGAACAGAGTAAGGGAAGGAGGGGGTGACAGGGGCCAGAGTGAAGGGGGACAACAGGGGGCAGAGTGAGGGGGTGACAGGGGACAGAGTAAGGGGAGGAGGGATGACAGGGGACAGAGTAAGGGGAGGAGGGATGACAGGGGACAGAGTGAGGGGTGACAGAGTGAGGGAAGGCGGAGTTGACAGGGGACAGAGTGAGGGTGTGACGGGGGAAGAGTGAGGGGGTGGCAGAGAGAGGAGGTGACGGGACAGAGTGAGGGAAGGAGGGGGTGACAGGGGACAGAGTGAGGGGTGACAGCAGGATGACAGGGAGCAGAGTGAGTGGGTGACAGGGGACAGAGTGAGAGGGTCACAGGGAGATGACTGAGGAGTGACAGGGGGCTGAGTGAGGTAGAGGTGTTAGAATGTTAAAAATACCTTTTTTTTCTTTTTTTTCGTGGTCCAGTGTACTGGCTCCCTGGTGCTCTGATTGGCTGGAGATCGAGAGACATTTCACAGTCTGCAGCTCACACCCAGCAGAGCTGCAAACTATTCTGGCTCTCTCCCTGGGCAGATTAGAGGAGCTGGCTCTCTGGGCAGATGGGAGGTACCTCTCACCCAGTGGCACACAGGGAAAGCCGCCGGCCCCCTTCTGATGTCAGGTCCTCGGTCATATGTAAGTCTGCCTAAGGCAATTTAGGTGGCTACAAGGCCCCAGCCAGCACGAGGCCTTAGGGAGCCACCTCTACCCATACATCCAGTCTATAGCATCAGTGACCATCCTTCAGTTTGACAAAAAACAGTGCTCAATCAGTTTTGTTAATTACCATCATTATTGTGGTACTCGTCCTGCAAGAGTGCCTGCTACCTCCACAGATGTAGTTAGTAGAAGCTGGTGGTAAGACATTTTTTTACCACACTGGAAGACCATCAATCATGCTTATAGATTGAATGAGTGGAAAAGCTTCTCAGGGTGTAAAAGGGGAGTTGGTTGTCTGTTGCTAATGCCCACTCACTTTTAGCATAACAAATTATCAGTTTCCCCCAACTCAGTCTTTGGAGGTAACAGGTACTGCAAGGCTCAGTCAGGCATCTCAAAGCCACAATGTGAACAATTAGAAAACAGAGGCAGCAGCAGGAGTAATTTCATTAGAATCAATGGAGGTAACAGGTACCGCAAGGCTCAGTCAGGCATCTCAAAGCCACAATGTAAACCATTAGAAAACAGAGGCAGCAGCAGGAGTAATTTCATTAGAATTTTTCTTTGTTTGTTTATGTATTTTTAGGTCACCAACACCACCTCAGTTTATTTTCTATAAAAACTTTTAACCCCTTAAGGACACATGACATGTGACATGTCATGATTTCCTTTTATTCTAGAAGTTTGGTCCTTAAGGGGTTAAAAAAGACCTACCACACTTATAGGGTTATTCACTAAAGTTAAAATTGTAGGAAATTCAAAGTGAATTTTAAATTGAGTGGACACGATAGTCAATAAAACAACTTTAGATAAATGAAGCTGTTTTTGTGTATAGATCATGCCCTTGCAGACTCACTGCTCAATTCTCTGCCATTTAGGAGTTAAATCACTTTGTTTACGCACCCTAGTCACAAATCCCTGCATTGACTTAAACACGTCCTAAACACTTTCTGTAAAGTAAGATGTAATATTTAAACTTCCTTTATTGCTCACACTGTTTAATTTAGAATTTCTTATATTTTGCTATGTTAATAGCATGCAAGACCTTACAAGTGCCTCTTGTGTGTGATTAAAGTTCAATGTAAACAGCAGGCGTTAAAAACGTTTAAAATTAGTTGACATCTTATTGAAAATCAAACAGTTGTCTTCCAGCAGACAATGGCAGTCACAGGTGTGGCTAGGACTGTATAAATATAAACAAAAGTAATTTAACTACTAAATGGCAGATAATTGAGCAGGGGCATGATCTATACGGCCAACATTGCTTCATTGAGATGAAGTCGTTTTGGCGCCTAAATTGTCCCTTTAAAAGCCAAAGTAGCCAAACTGAATGCATAGCTGACTGGGATAATTTTTTCAGTTCAACTATTTTGACCATAAATTTTACATTTACTTTCTAAGTGGAGGCAGAGTTTATCTGCATCGAAATACTGAGAAGGAGGAAACAAAATCTAATTTGAAACAATTCATTCAGAGAATCAGAGTAGGTGTAAGTGGCACTGATAGTATCAGGAAGAACCTTTTATTTATTTTTTTCCATTTCTATTTTCCATTTTTTCTGTTTCAATTAACTGGATGATAAGAGGTGTGACCGTTCCTGTCCAACATGCCGCTGTCAACCACTGATACTATTCTCACCTTCCCCCACTCTGCCTAAGGGTGGTGTTAGTAGTAGTGGAGGAGGTAGCACTGCTGGTACGTTGTGAAAACTGCACAGAACCAAATGCAGCACCAGGCTGCCTGGCCTAGTACCTGCCTGCTCTACTTCTTCCTTCAGTGGTATAGACTTGTGGTATATGTGCAGATGTTACTTCATGCCGGCACTAGTGAGCCTTCATATGCCCAATATTCATTTCACACAATTTGCACTTTGGAAGTCAGCCAATACAGTATACTCAACCCTTTGTCTTGTATCTGCTGAAGATGCAGGTGGATTTGCATTAGTGACAGTGCAAGGTGATGCATTACTAGCCTGTACACTAGCACTTGGTTAATTAATGCAAATTAAAATGTTGTTGGTGCCGGTACAAGTGATGTTGGTGGTAGTATTAGTGGTGCTGATGGTAGTAGTAAAAAAAATGGTGGCGATGGTAACATTGAAAGTGGGTGAGCTACAAGTGCACTTGTTGTCTCAATTGTCTCCGTTGGATGAGGTGATTCTACAGCAAATATAGATGGACTTGGAGATGGAGGACAAGTTCCAAAGCTAGTCCATACTAGCTCCCAGAGAAAATATTGGTCTACCTCTTTTATTCAGCAAAAATAAGTGTTTGTGTTACAAAATGGGTTAGTGCTTTGTGATTTAATGCTGAAACATTACTGTGTTTGCCATTAAAAAAACCTTACACAGTGCTCACACACCTGCACAACATACACTGGACTGAACACTGAACCCAACCACTCTCTGTCGGCGTCCCCCAAAGTTCTGTCCTTGATCCCCTACTGTTCTCTATCTATACTGCCTGCCTTGGTAAACTCATCAGCTCCTTTGGCTTCCATTATCATTTCTATGCAGATGACACGCAAATCTACCTGTCCTCTCTATATCTCTCTCCGCCTATCTTGACTCGTGTCTCTGACTGCCTCTCTGCGATTTCCAACTGCATGGCTGCTCACTTCTTTAAACTCAACCTGTCCAAAACAGAACTTCTGGTCTTTCCTCCCTCAAGTGTTACTACTCCTGTGTCAACAGCGCTACCATCACTTCTACCTCGCAGGCCCGCTGCCTGGGTGTTTTCTTTAAATCCAACCTCTCCTTCACCCCTCATGTCCAAT